ACTACAAAAAGACAATGCAACTGTTGACATCAGCGGCAGCCCGAAGTACTTGAAGATGTCGCCCATGCAGATCATCGCCAATACAAGGTACGTGCCCTCACATCATCATCATCATCATCATCCTTCACCTATCCCCTGACTACACCCACACCTGTCCTCTCTTTCATCCGAAGACCACCCCTGCACTTCACTGTAGTCCAAGCCCACCAGCTATGGTGACTGGGCTATGGCGCTGCCCTCAGCAGCGCCCTCCTCCTCTGCACGACCGCACATGCTGCACCTTGCCTCTCAGCGCCAGCCAGCAGCCGCGAGCCTTTGCTCCAGCAGCGCTGCGCTAGCATGCGAGTGCCTGAATGAGGCTGCCTGGCCAGAGCTCTTTCCTTTATGGAAAAGAGCTGGCCAGCTCTCGCAGCCTGGCTGGGCTGGCCTGGGCCCAGAAGCTTCCGGAAGGCCCCAGGAGGCTGCCAGCGTACAGCAGCTACTGGGCTGCTGGGCCTCGTTCGGTTGGGCGCCCAACTGTCTCTGTATGAGGCTGCGAATCACGCCCAGGGCCTGCATTCTTTGGAAAGGCCCGGAGGGCCGTGGAAATGTCTTTGTTGCTCGGCCTGTGTTTCTYTCAACCAACTGGCGCGTCGCAACTGCCTGGACCCCAAATATGAAATTGMCAGTCGAGGGCCTCTTGCAAAAAGCCAGGCCCGCCTTCACTTAGGGCGGGCACCTCCGCCTTCACTTAGGGCGGGTAATGCTGCAAACAGGCCCCCATAGGCCTACCGAGGACCCTGGTCCTCGCGTTTCGTTCAAAAAATAATAAAAAATGTCCATTTTGATGAAATGGCCGTTACAAGGGAATGGCATAAGCAGTTGAGGGCAAGTCCGGTGAAGTGTACGCATTTACATCCAGCTTTCTCTCTCTGCTGCATTCTTTTGCAGTGTAGGCATTGATGTCCACACACATCGTCTCTTCCAGAGTCGTGATGAGGAGGGCAATAAGCTTTTAGGACATGGGCACATGCCCATCTACATCTTCCTCCAAATTCAATGCACCCTCATCGCGAACGGATCGGACTGGAAACATAGCATCTACACATTCACGGTGGGGGTGTGTTGTTTTGGGGGAAAGATGGGAGGAGCCCATGCATCTCGGACTCCTGTCTTCCCCTCCGAATACAATGCACCCTCATCATGAATGTGTACATCATGACCGAATTGGACTGGACTTGTGGTCGGGGGGGGTGTTGTATTGGGGAGAGGTTGGTAGGAGCTCATGCACAAGAGGGCTTCTCTGCGTTTGGGAAATTGGGACTACCGTCTTCACCTCCGACTACAACACACCCTCATCATTTTTATTATTATTATTATTATTATTATTATTATTATTATTATTATTTATCACACACATGACTGCATCAGACCGGAAAGATAGCATGTATACTACTACTGTGCATTCATGGTTGGGGTGCGTAGTATTCGGGGGAAGATGGTAGAACTCCATGCAGAAGAGCGATGTGGGCGACGGCCTTGAGATATCATCTTTGATCCAACTGGCCTCAGGCAATTCAGAAATGTTTCATCGTTTTCATTTGTCTAGTTGCATCATCTGGATTCGTACTGAGGTCTGTGATTCAAGCCACCAGCGTGTTCGTTTCCCAGCCATTATTTTTCGATGACGCACCATGCATGCAGGCGCACTGGTGCGTCTCACAAACGAGAAATCCGTCCAGGCATGCATGCAGGCGCACTGGTGCAGCCATTATTTCTCACAAACGAGAAATCCGTCCTTGATCCGACTGGTCGTGTTTGCCGAGAAATCCATCCAGGCAAATTGGGCCGTGCATGCAACCTGTTTTGCCTGGATGGATTTCCCAGGCAACAAACGCAACCCCGATATAGACTACCTTCTTCCCCCGAATAAAATGTACGGTCATTATAGCTGTATCTAGACTGAAATGCAGCTATAATGACCGTATGTTGTGTTCGGGGGAAGAAGGTAGCGACCTGTTTAGCCCAACATGCCTGCATGCCTGCATGGTGCGTCTCACAAAAATCATGGCTGGGAAACGTACTGGTGGTTTAAGAGTTCATGGATGTACCCACTGAGCGGAGCGGATCCTTTTTTTTTTTTTTTTTTTTTTTGAGCGGAGCGGATCCTAAGAAGTATTGAGGAGAAAGATTAAAAAGAGGAGCAAAGCTGAGGGGTTTTGTCTCTCCTTCTTTTTTTGTACCTTTTTTGTTCCTTTTACAATTGGGTCTTCTGCACAAGAACACCAGGGGGCTTGGGGTGCTCGTCCTAATCTGTGCCCCTTGGCTTGTCTCGCGAATCGTTTTTTTTTATAACTAAGCTATATTAGTATATTCTTCTCTCAATCTATGTGTGTGCGCATCTATCTAAAAATGTAGCTCATCCTCTCGTTAGTCTACGTGCCCCTTTGGCTAAGATCAAGGGTAGTAGTATTCATTGTCCATAGTGTTTTTTTTTTGTTTTTAAAGTTTCATACCTGAACTGTGATCGATAACAGGCGGGGGTGGAGGAGGGGGAAGGAAAAGAATCAGCGGCTGAATGAGCGTGTATGTGCCCCTTTGGCTAAGAGTTGGACCCCACAGGAAAAAGGATGGAAAAACCGTCCGGCCAAAAAAAAATGGGCAAAGAATTTTGGAAAGCTGCAAAGCAGTTCTGCGGGGACCCCACCGCGGAGGACCAAATGCGCCGTGGAAACCCTTTGGGAATCAGTTGAGCCAATCGTTGCCTTTCTCCATCGGCACTCATTTTTTTTTGAGAAAACTACAGCGCAGTCAGGGATTGAGTTTGTAATTGCACTTGAGGCAAAAGGGCCGGTAATGCTGAATGTATGTGACCTACGTTTCGGGTCCGGTTTTTTCCTTTTTTTTTTTGTGGCACTCTTGGTTGCTACTGGCTGCTGCCTCCCGTGAGACTTCTCCAAGACCTTTCCAGGACAGACACACCCTCCCCCCTACCCTCTAGAGTTGGCACAAAATTGCGGCGAGGAATCCTCCCGTGAGACCTTTCCAGGCTGCGGACTATGTGAAAACAGAAAACTACGTTTTTCCAAGCCGCAATCTTCGGTCTGTGGGGTCCGGGAAAACTGTTTGCGGGAGAAATTTCACCTTTCCGTGGACATCTTCCGCAGGCTGTGGGGTCCTGGAAACAGTTTCGCGGCAAAGTTTTTCCTTTCCACGGTCCTGTGGGGTCCAACTCTAAGATCAAGGGTACTATTCATTGTCTATAGTTTCATACCTGAACTGTGATCGATAACAGGGGGCTGGGGGGGTGGGGGGAGGGAAGGAAAAGAATCAGGGGCTGAATGAGCACGTCTTCACCTGAATAGAAAGCCCTGTCATTATAGCTGTATCTAGACTGGATGTTGACCGAATACAGCTATATTGAAGGGGCATTTATTGCCATGAAGAATCTGAAGACGGTAGCGGGAAGAAGTAGATTTGGGTGTTGGGAAAACAACTGAGTGGGTATCACCCTGAAAGGAGCCACTGCAGTGACCTAAGCCCGTCAGGAATGCACATCCTCTGGAAAATCTGTAACCATATTTTGCCTGGCTCGGCCATGTCACACCCCACCTGCCCAGGGATCCCCAGGCAGACGAAAACGAGGAGGGGTGGGGGAATTAAAAGAGAAACGTTAAAAAAACTTGAAAAAAGTCCGCCCTCAGGCCAGAGCTGCAGTTGTTCTGAGCAGTCTGAAAGTCTCTGAATCCGACCTTATCGTTGAAATTGGTCATGGATCACCTTGGAGGATTGTACGGGTGTAAATGTGGTTAAGAGGGGGCTCAAAAGGGCCTATAGTGGGGTGTACCTTACTTGAGTTTTTGTTTTGTTAACTTTTATCTGGAAATGAATTAACTTAAAGAAATTCTGAAGGTGAAGCGTTTGAGTCGGGGATTCTTGATTGATGTAATGTCGTGGCTAACTGCTTAGGAGTGTTTTTTTCATAACTTTTTCCCAAAAAACAATTAAAAAAAAAAAAAAATCCGAAGTGAGCCAATTCGAAAAGTTGTACATATTGCAGTTCTCAACAAACACATTTGTTTTCCTCTCTCTTTTTTTTTTTTTTTTTTTTTTTTTGGTGCTTGGGCTGCCTGGGACCTTCCCAGGATCTGTCTCGGCTGGGCCATCCACGCAACCAGAGGCAGCCAGGTCCCTAGCCAGGTAACCTAGACTGCTGTTTGAACTTTGAGCGCAATGTACTTATTGTGAGCTCGTGTCATTTCCCCAATTTGCAAATTGCATGATCATCTCTTACCCCTTACCCCTTACCCTCACCCTCACCCTCACCCTTACCCTTACCCCATACCCTTGAGTGATCATTGGTTTCGGTCCTTTCGGAGCTTGCGGTTCTGCTTTTGGTTCTCCTCTTACGCTTATCCTGATCCTTCACCCTTGAATAAGCATTGGTTATGGTTGCTGCTTTTCAGTCTCGTCTTTGGCTCTGGCTGCTGCTTTCCAGTCTCCTCTTACCTTTACCCCCTTACCCTTACCCCTTTACCCTTACCCCTTTACCCTTACCCCTTTACCCTTACCCCTTTACCTTTACCCCGTTACCCTTACCCCGTTACCCTTACCCCTTTACCCTTACCCCTTTACCCTCACCCCTTTACCCTTACCCCGTTACCCTCGGCATAATGTTACATATTAGTTGAGGCGCTCGCACGTACGTAAGAGCTTGAGGAGAACTGATATTCGGGTAATGCATTTTCTTTTACCTCTATCCCCGTACCCTTACCCCTTATACCCCTTACCTCACGCCGTTCCCCTTCCCCTTACCCCTTGCCCTTACCCCTTATACCCCTTACCTTACGCCCTTCCCCTTCCCCTTACCCCTTGCCCTTACCCCTTATACCCCTTACCTTACGCCCTTCCGCTTCCCCTTACCCCTTGCCATTACCCCTTACTCTTACCGCCTTACCTTTACCCTTACGCTTGAATAAGCATCAATGGCATTGTGATTGCTGCTTTCCGGTCTGCTTCAGGATTGCTGCCTGATTCCAGAAATCCCCTTCTTCATCGACGGAGAGGGTGGGTTGTTCCAATTTTTGGAAGCACGATTGCGAGAAAACGACCATTGCGTCATCCTTGTCGCGGAGGGAGCAGGACAAGACCTTATGAGAGAAACTTTTGGCAACAAGGAAAACACCGACCAGTCTGGAAACAAGTCGCTGCTGGATGTTGGGCTTTGGCTGAGCTCGCAACTAAAGGTACGGAAAATTCAAAATTTAACCATAAAGAAGTTTATTATTAACCATAAATAAGTTTATGCAATCAGACTTAACTCTGGACTTGCTCACAACATGCACACTTGAGAACTGATGGCAAAAGCGAACTCTTCCAACTCAGAAACAACAGTGAACTTGTGTTGAACTCAGCCTGAACCAACTGTCTGGGCCCGTTTTTATTAAAAAAAAAAAAAAGCCTGAACCAACTGTACAACTTGCGGCTATGGCCGCCGAACACTGTCTCTACCACCAGTCTCACTTCCCCACACTCTCGCATACACGCACGTACGAGGATCGCCCTGAATGTCCACGCTGCACAGACACACACACTCTGTACACCCTGTCTGCACCAACAGCTGGGCGGCTATGGCCAGCCGCCGTCGTCTTCCTCCTCCTCGCTATGGCCGCCGGTTTCTCTCTCGCCGATTCGCTATGCCCGCTGTCTTCTTCACAGCCCACTTCGTCTCCGCGCACCTGCAGTCCTCCACGCACAATATACCAAGGCAGCTCTTCCGCATGGCACACAGGCGAACGAATGAATGGCTGGACGTTGTGCCTGTTTGCGTATACTTCTTCAGAGGTACCCGCGCCCCTGCCTCAAATCGTGTGGGCTTGGGCCAAAACGCGTGAGGCCCGGGTCTGGACGTTTCGAAACCGCGTGAGCCTGGTAGGCTCAACCCACGTGGAACTCCCTCGACCAAAACGTGTACAGCAGCTGGGCCCCAAAATGCGTATTCTGGAATCTTCTCCAGAACGCGTGGGCCTCCCTGTTTCCCCACGTGCAACCTCTACCCCTGGTACCTGCTGACTGGACTGTGGACTACAGGGTCCTACGGATTCCGGAAACATGCACGTACTTGGATGGGAACTGATACTACGTACAGACCAATCGACACAAAGATGTATCGCGCTTTCCTATCACACACAATACGTCTTTTTGTAAAGAGCCACACATTGTGCAGCCATCACCCTTCTGCTATCTCTACTCATGTACGTAATGC